AATATTATAGATATGATGTCTGACCATTGTTTCCAGTCAAAGATCAGTCAGTAACTAATATTATAGATATGATGTCTGACCATTGTTTCCAGTCAAAGATCAATCAGTAACTAATATTATAGATATGATGCCTGACTATTGTTTCCAGTCAAGGATCAGTCAGTAACTAATATTATAGATATGATGTCTGACCATTGTTTCCAGTCAAGGATCAGTCAGTAACTAATATTATAGATACGATGTCTGACCATTGTTTCCAGTCCTGTAGACTAATTCTTGTAACAGACAGGCAGCAGTAGAACATTCAAAGTATTCATTAGTAAACAGATCAGAAATACTGACCAAAAGATGGGTTCATTCTTGAAAAGGTACATATACAACAGTTCATTCATACGAAAATACAAAAAAAAATTATTTCAACTTCAAAACGTGTCCAAATAGTTCGAAACTTAAAGAATGACAACCAGTTTTGTCACAACTACATGAAATAACTTAATCCACTGAATGTTAAGAAATAAACTTTGACTCACATTTTAATTTAAGAAGAAAATGTTATTTTAGACACAGACACAAGAAGTTACTACTTAAACTAAAATGCATTTCAACAGTTAAATAAGTTATGTAAAAAAAAATCACAATCTGGAACACAAATTCTGTTACTGATGACCACTTCCTCTGAAAACTACACAGGAATGTCAACACAAATAATGTCTAATATACATCATACAATTTGGGCTAAACATAGTACTGGCTCAAAAAAGTAAAAAAAATTGTGATAAACCTACATACATCAGCTACCTAGGTTTAAGAAACATCCAGACGTTTGTATCTATACTGTCCACAAAAGTTTGTTCCTAACAAATCAACAGCATTCCGTGACGAGGTCATGAAATAAATAATAATAAGACTTTAATTGTTCTAGTTCCTTTTGAACCTTACATATGATATTACAAACATAATATTTTAAAACAAGCAACTACTAATTCAGAAACTAACATTTTATCAATTGTTTTATCCACCTTATAAGGAAGTTTTATTACATTCTTAAGTTAGGACTGCATAAAGATTTTATTTAAACAGACAAAATATTAAAAAATAGCCATTCTGACAGATGTGTGGGTTTTTAGGTGATATCAATGCTAGCAGCTGGCCAATTTTATATCGACGTTTTGACAGATGTGTGGGTTTTTAGGTGATATCAATGCTAGCAACTGGTCGATTTTATATCTACATTTTGACAGATGTGTGGGTTTTTAGGTGATATCAATGCTAGCAACTGGCCAATTTTATATCGACATTTTGACAGATGTGTGGGTTTTTAGGTGATATCAATGCTAGCAACTGGTCGATTTTATATCGAAATTTTGACAGATGTGTGGGTTTTTAGGTGATATCAATGCTAGCAACTGGCCGATTTTATTCTTCCACACAGAAATACTGGTAGAATACAACTTGCAACAAAATCCTTATTGTCGCAATGATTACTTGCAAGTTTTTGTACACAAGTTAATAAATATCCTTGTTTCTAAGAAACTCACGGCTGTACCAAAACAAAACCCGATAAATTCACAACCCTGTGATAAAACAGAAAAATCTTATACACGTTTGGTTTCAAACTCACAGCTGTAAAAAAAAAAACCGATACATTCAAAATTGTGATAAAATAGAAATAAAATCTTAAAGATAAATTAAAGGCACCACTACAATAATCAAATGATAACTACACAAGTTAACGTACTTTAATTAAGCATCATATATATTCAATGTTTTGTGGGAACAAAATCGACCACTTTGGTTCTAAAAGTACCCGAAGAAAATATTCACGAATAAACATTTGCAAAAAAATTGAACAATAAGCCCATTTTCATTTCAATCACAACATATAATTTGTTCTCACAACTTATGAATGTTTACCTCAAAATGCTAGGGAATTCTAAGCTGAAACTCTACATAAGTACAAATATAAAGTTTTCCACAGTAAGATTTTTATAATAACGTGAAGTTTAGAACTCCAGTACTAACAAAATCTATCTAACAAATGCAGAAAATTCCATTAACTACTATTATTTTTATGTCTTATTGTTCCTACCTGTTTCTAAGTATCAATTTACAAATAATCAATAAAACAAAAAGTTTGATAATGCCCAGTCTTTCTTTAGCAATGACTAAAGTTCCGTGAACACCTCACAAACCGAGGATCTCATTTCTTAATCAGCAAAATCATTCACATCTCTGAACATTTTTAAAAAGATTACGAACTCTCCGTCCTTAGTGGAGAGTAACAAATGTGTGCATATAACATTAAATAAATTCATTGTGTGCAAAAAGAGTCTACAACTTCTGAAAAGTATAATACAGAACAAAGTTAAAAAGGTTCTATATAACTTTGATAAATCTGCATGACATTGGTTCTTCATTGTTTTAAGAGATCCCCACCCTTCCACTTCTCGTCTAATGTTCCAGGAATCTGTGAATTGAAGAAGAAATATAAAGAAATGGTGAGATCTTCTGTCCTTGGTTCTTCATCTTTTAATCAGGACTAACATCATCTATAACTAACGGTCACTCATTGAAAAAAGTAGCACAGATAATATGGTTATTTTACTGTTGTGGACAAAGTTTATTTGTTCTGTCCAAACCACACCTAGTCCTTCAAGAAAGTTTACATTAATAAACATGGACTTTAATTTATTAATCCTTAAAACTTAAACAAGGGAAAATTGTTGCTTTCAAAGTATGCAGATCCCACAGCATAAATGTATTAGACTTGAGTGAAGAGACTGATAACCATTTTCAACTTATTTTTATTATTGAAAATCAAATTTTTGAATAACAAAAATGAATTCTTTTTCTAACCATAAAGTTATGATAAAAAGTTAGAACATCAAAAATAGTTCATGAAAATTGACTTACTAATTTTTCTTGTTAAAATTACATAAACTGAGAAATTTCACTTAAATATTTACTGAACATAAATTTTGTTAAATGTGCTCTTCAGGAAAGAAGTTATTTTCTCCGTAATTGTATAATTTTCAAGTTAATCTTAGTTTTAAATACTTCAAACGATATAAAGTAATAAAAAAATCACCAGCCACGGTAAATTTATAATTGCCTGAAATATATTTCAGAGAAAAGTTATTTCAACCAAACAGAGAAAATCGAATCCAAGTAGTCCAGAGGAATAATCTATAACATTGTTTGACAAAAGTCTACATTTGCATGTCTGTTTATAACTGGGAAACTATTGGATCGAATTCGACAAAATCTGGCACGTAGCCCCTTAGGGTCCTCTGGGGAGTGACATAGGGGTGTTGCTGTTTAGATCTAACTCTACATTATCAAATAGATAGTGTCTCTGCGTATGTATCTTTCAGTGTTGTGATAAAATATATTCATTCTAAAATTGTGTTGGATGATAGTAGAGCATGTGTTGTATTTTAAACAACACGAAACTGAGTTTAGCTTCAAATTTTTGTATTTATTGAGATACTAGCTGATGACCTGCTCAGCACACAGGGAAGGCAAAAACAACACTGAAAAATACATATACCAGAGACACTATCTAAGGCAAAAACAACACTGAAAAATACATATACGGAGACACTATTTAAGGCAAAACAACACTGAAAAATACATACACAGAGACACTATCTAAGGCAAAAACAACACTGAAAAATACATATACGGAGACACTATCTAAGGCAAAAACAACACTGAAAAATACATACACAGAGACACTATCTAAGGCAAAAACAACACTGAAAAATACATACACTGAGACACTATCTAAGGCAAAAACAACACTGAAAAATACACACACGGAGACACTATCTAAGGCAAAAACAACACTGAAAAATACATACACAGAGACACTATTTAAGGCAAAAACAACACTGAAAAATACATACACAGAGACACTATCTAAGGCAAAAACAACGCTGAAAACTACATACACGGAGACACTATTTAAGGCAAAACAACGCTGAAAAATACATACACAGAGACACTATCTAAGGCAAAATCAATTTACTAAAATCAGATAGCTCAAGTTGATTCAAATTTCAGTTTAGTAAAATCAGAGAGCTCAAGTTGACTCAAATATCAGTTTACTAAAATCAGGTAGGTCAAGTTGATTTAGATATTTGAAGTTTAAGTAGTAATAAAGCCATATCAGTTAAAAATCTAAGTTACCGACATCTACAGAGTTTTGATAATGGAACCATTATACAAATGGATTTTAGTATTTTGATTGTTACTGTCACTACTCAATGATGCTTTTCAGTTTTGGAGCTGCAAAAAATCTGGTTAAAAATATTTCAGACAACTTTGTTCATAAAGCAGCTATCGAAATGTTAGATCATTTTTCACAAAACAAATTCGAGTAAACTGTTATTTGAGTGAACTTGAGCTCTCTGATATTTAAATCAACTTGAGCTCTCTGATTTTAGTAAACTGATATTTGACACACGGCAACTCTGTAGATGTGGTAACTTAGATTTTTAACTGATATGGCTTTATTACAACTTAAACTTCAAATATCTTCTAAGTTACCCACATCTACAGAGTTGCCGTGTGTAGATATTTGAAGTTTAAGTTGTAATAAAGCCATGTCAGTTAAAAATCTAAGTTACCGACATCTACAGAGTTGCCGTGTATTCATCAGCCGGTGTTGCTTTATTATAACTAACTTCCTATACCTACACACGTGACTCAGTAGATGTAGGTAATTAGAGTATTAACTGATGTGTCTTGATTATAACTTACACTTCAAATATCTATACACAATGGTCTTTCTTTGAAAACTTTGTTTTACTGTAAAAAATAAGTAAGCCAATACGTAACCACTCTTTTTTAAGAAGTGCCTATTGAGATTTGGTGGGACTCATCACTACATCTGAAATATTGCAAATCTCAGTTTATCCTCTGTTTGTTACTATGGCCAGAATTTAACTGAACTCTTGAGCTATTTTATTAGCCCAGAAACCAATAATTCCCCCAAAAAATAAAAGTTGGGAGATCATGTTCACATCTCTCCAATGTTAATTTTCACCCCCCCGGGAAAATTCTAAACACATAAGATAACGTGCAAACAATAATATTTCTATTAGTAAATCAACAATTTTTATGGTATCACTTGCCGGCAAATATAAAGCATTTTGTTTTAAAAAATATAATACAATGTCTCTATGAACAGAAAACTCATAAATATTAATAAATTAGATCAATAAATATTTTCTTCAATCAATTATTAGGTGTCTACTTTGATGGTAAGGTTGAGGCAACAGATAGGGTTAGTAGCCTTGCTAATCTGCTACCATCGTTTAGTCCAGAGGGGGGGGGGGACTATTTCTGTGGACTGATAACACTTTTGGTTACAAATTAATAATTTACCCAAATTCTGAGTCTTTTTCTAACATAAGCTGTTTTTATTTTTCAGTAAATGCTTTTATTACATTAGAAAACAGTAAAATTTGTTTCAATTATTTTATCGTATACCAGTTAATTGATCCCACAGAAAACCCAAATCAGTTCAAAAATGGCTAACCAAAATATTTATATATATATCATACAATGAATACATTTAGATATGTGCGTGACAAAGATTAAGAGTTAAAAAATATTTTCAGAAAAGGTCAATTTTAGATTTAAGTTCTCAGCATATAAACACCAAAGATGTAACGTTAAGAAAACTGTCAGAGCAATATCCAATCTCGGTCTTACTCCATCCTCACCTATTATGTATGTTCACATTCACTACTAAACCTGTTCAGGTTGCATCTACGACCCTGAATACTCCACGTTTAAACCTGTTCAGGTAGCATCTATGACCTTGAATACTCCACGTTTAAACCTGTTCAGGTTGCATCTATGACCTTGAATACTCCATGTTTAAACCTGTTCAGGTTGGATCTACAACCCTGAATACTCCATGTTTAAACCTGTTCAGGTTGCATCTAAGACCCTGAATACCCTAAGCTTTTTTATTGTTAATTTTCTATGTTTTTAATTTCACTATCTTCAAATTCTACTTGAAATATGTATTTGTAAACATACCATTTTTTCATTACCAATTTTTGTGGTTCTACAATTTCTTTATTTTGGTGATATTGTAACCTTTAAGTTGTGAAAGAACACTTTTATGACATTTTTTAGTTTGTGAAAGCAGTTTTAAAAAAGTCCAATTTAATTTTTAGTTTTCAAAGTACCAACTGTTCATGAACAATTTTCACCAGTATACTTTTGTGAAGGTATCCCTTAATGGACTGAAGTTGAGCTTGAATTAAACTCTGAATCCTCTGCTTATTATTTAAAAACACAAACTTAGAATCTTATCAGTCTGTTATAATATTAATAGTAAAACATATGTTCAAATTACTCAGTAATCAGCTAATACTTTCATAAATTTCCTGAGTGATAACATAAATTGTTTCCTCTTGTTCACATTTAAACCATAAAAGATAAATTGAACTATCATATTTTATGATACATATAACAAACATTCAAATGCAACAAATAACAGTTTTTACTTTGCCTTCCTTGTTATCCATTGTGTGTTAAGATAGATTCTGCTAATTGGTCAATAATAAGAAACACAGTATCCAATAACACTAGAGCAATACAGCAAATCTCCAACACACGTCTTAGGTATTAATGTAGCAACAAGTCTATGATATCCTAGGTATTAATGTAGCAACAAGTCCATGATATCCTAGGTATTAAAGTAGCAACAAGTCCATGATATCCTAGGTATTAATGTAGCAATGAGTCCATGATATCCTAGGTATTAATGTAGCAATGAGTCCATGATATCCTAGGTATTAATGTAGCAACAAGTCCATGATATCCTAGGTATTAATGTAGCAACAAGTCCATGATATCCTAGGTATTAATGTAGCAACGAGTCCATGATATCCTAGGAATTAATGTAGCAACAAGTCCATGATATCCTAGGTATTAATGTAGCAACAAGTCCATGATATCCTAGGTATTAATGTAGCAACAAGTCCATGATATCCTAGGTATTAATGTAGCAACAAGGCCAAAATTTTTCTTTTAGTATTTTTAACATAACAGCCTCTAAAATGAGAGAAATTACATATTTTTAAATGATCACAAATGACTGTGATATGAATTATTTTTTGTTATGTTTTCTTTTAAATTCTTAAAAATACACAATAAGAAATCAAGTAAAATCTCAGAATTCTAAATAAAAAAAATGCCAGCTTCTTTATTTCTTAACTAGATAAGTTTTTCTCTCTTAACCAAATTGTCATATTCATGAAAGTAAAGAACGTGTGAAGCACAATATATCCAGTGTCAACTAGGCCTTACACCAGGGTTCATCAGACTGGCTTGGGTACAACAGAAATAATTATAGTTGAGACACTATTTACATCATCAAGTAGTTGAACAACAAAAACTATGCCAATCCTATTAGTTTAACTTTGACCAAAAAGCTAAATACAGAAATCAACTATATTTTTTACAAATGGTCTGTGTTATATTTTTTTTATAAGACTCACACTGCAGACCTAAAGCTCATGGTTGACAGAACTGTGGCAAAGTGTACTTTTACAGAGAAGAATTAACTATATTTAAAAATAATCTGGATCAAGAACTAACTCAGGTAGATAGAACAAAGTTTAGAGAGTTAATTTCTAGTAAAGAAATCTATTATAAAGTTAACTGTAACCTGGTGTTTTAACGAAATGAAGTTTTGGCATGATTTATGTGAGAGAACCAGAAACGTTCTCTCCTATGCTGAAAGTGGACATTTTCAGATAACCAGGTGACAACTTGGAATTGGTAGAAACACACAACCAGTAAAACAGAAAAAAAAAGCGACTTTTTGACTCACCAGCGGTTTGTCACGATGAGTGTCAACAGCATCAACTGGCAGCTTAAAAAGGTTCATTTCACAACCATAAGCCACAGGGGTTAGCTTGAGAACAGTATGCAAGGGTACTCGAAGGTAAGGGAGATCCTCTACAGGGAAACAAGTGACAGAAAAATTTAACAACATTCTTCACACCAGGTGGATATATTCACCGACTAAGAGCTACACAGATGAGTTCTTTGTCTCTTGGATGAAGAAATTTGGCTTCTTTTGTCATCACAAGCTTAGACTAAGAACATGACATTTAGCATACATGCTCTCAAATAAGGATGGGTATATATAAAACAATGCAATAAGTCAAACAATGTACACAAGATTCATACACAACAATGTACACAAGATTCATACACAACAATGTACACAACATTCATACACAACAATGTACACAACATTCATACACAACAATGTACACAACATTCATACACAACAATGTACACAACATTCATACACAACAATGTACACAACATTCATAAGTCTAACATGGTATTAACTATCACATAATCAACCCAAAAGTGATATATAAAACAATGCAATAAGTCAAACAATGTGCACAACATTCATAAGTCTAGCATGGTATTAACTATCACATAATCAACCCAAAAGTGATATATAAAACAATGCAATAAGTCAAACAATGTACACAACATTCATAAGTCTAGCATGGTATTAACTATCACATAATCAACCCAAAAGTGATATATAAAACAATGCAATAAGTCAAACAATGTGCACAACATTCATAAGTCTAGCATGGTATTAACTATCATATAATCAACCCAAAAGTGAATTGTCAAACATTAAAAAACATTACTCCTCAAAACCTGATGCATTATACAATTATTCTGATAAGAACATTTTACACACTTATGTGTGTGTGCGTAAAAGCTACTACACCATCAAACTATTTCTACACTTCTCTGGCTTCTAAAACACATAAATTAAAACCAGGTTTACTTCTACCGTTATGAAATTTACATTCAACTTTCTATGTGTAACGCATCACTATTCGTAATGTTGACCTTCCAGCCAACTCTGTACAGTACATGACGATAATATGAAAAGAAAAATGGTTTAGAAACTTACTAAATCACACATGTAGCTTCAGAAACACTGAAAGTTTAACTAATGAGTTTTAAAACTAGAATTTTGTAACAAATTTGCATTCTTTAAATGGACTAAGATATATACACTCAAAATATAGAATCACTTCAGGAAATCAAATATTACATAATTTCAAACTAACTTCATTATTATTATTACTGTACATTTTAACTTGTATATAACAAAAACTTTGGACAGTTTTCAGTCTAATAATAAGCTATTCTATCTAACTTCTAACGATCCCTGTTCACATATCGAAACTGAAAAAACAAGATTCTCATGTGCAATCCTCTTTGTGCCAAGTGACTCACTTTAGATCATAGAAAGTTCAAATGCGAAGTTCAACATTTGTAAAATAGTGCAATTATATGAATAAATGTAATTAGACTGACTGATTTTTCAGAGAAAAAATAAAATATTTAAAAAACTTGTTGTGTTACGTGAATATAAAAAGTATACTAATACACAAAAAAAAATCAAACACTAAACTTTGTTGGTTTGTGTATATTTAGGCTAACAGATTCCTGTTAGCTTCAATATACACAAACCAAGTATGTGTGAAGCAGTGAAACTGTTAGCTTCAATATACACAAACCAAGTATGTGTGAAGCAGTTTTCACTGCTTCACACATACCTGGTTTGTATATATTTAAGTTAACAGTTTCACTGCTTCACACATACACACAAAGAACATAATGTAACTTTAAAATAACCAACATAAATGTGTGAAAGTTGTTTACAACAACAAAAAATATCAAAATATTAAATAAATATGGATTAAATTGCATGCTTTTTTTGTTGTCTTACAATTTGGTTAACATTTTCTAACCAAATTTCAATTTGTATATGATCACAAAAAAAAACTATAAAGAACTCGGTAATTATGTGGATTAAATATTACGTACGTTTCTAGTTTTAGGGAAAACAAATTCACAGTTTTTTTACATTATTGAGAGAGAGTGTTGAAACATAAAAAGATAGTAACAATTAAACAGAAGCTACAGATACATCAGATGTACAAAATATGTTGTACATAGTAAAGATCTTAGTTACAACTATTGAAATTCTAACACCAACAATTCTAACGATTGTGGTATTTAGAATATTCTTAAAGAGTACCACTGAGATATTAAAGACAAACAGACCAATCTGTATTCTTACATAATCTGATTGACGATATGTCATTAAATTAGTATTTCTATGTTTTCTTAAAACAGTCTCAATAAAAATTTGGAAATTTCACAAAACTAATCAATTACATGTTTTTTTAAGCAGAAAATAGATACTATTTAATAAGTTTGTATCAACTTCAGTTCAGGATTCCCACTATGGGAAAAAACAAAATCAGGGATTATCTCTGATGATAGGGAAAGGACACAAAAATAAACCAAAATTCTGAATACTTTACCTTGCTGGGAAAAATACGTTAATACTATAATAACCAAACAATAAAACCATCACACGACATGGAAAACTCACTGACTGTTTTGTAGAAAGAATAAAATGTTTTTTTCTAAGAAGTTACAAAAGATATTTGGACAGTAACTTTTATCAGATATTTTTTTCACTTATCTGCAGGAGTTATCGTGGCCTTGTAAGATGTAAAAAGTTTCCTGAGATGACGATTGTGCTTTCATCAAAATTTCCGTTTGTTGTCTTAAGACAAGAAATGCAGGAACTGTAGGAAAACTAACTACATTCACTAAAATATTAATGTAACACTTGTAAAGCTTGGCTTATAGAGCACAGTGATTGGTTAGCTAAAGGTTCCCTAACTACCTGATATTATTACATATCTAATAATTTAAATTTTCTTAACTATGCAGATTTCTAAATTTCATTTTTCCTTAAAAATAACTTTTTAAAGTTTATTAACACAAGTGTATGACCACCGTGTAACATTTGTTTTCAACAAGAATGCGTGTACCCTCTCTCTCTCTCTATGGTTGTAATACGAGGTATACAAAATAGCTTGTAATCTTTAAAGAAAATGCAAGTTGCAATTTGTACTCGATATTGTATCCTTGGTACTTCAATCTTCACTTATTAACTTAGATTCACTTCTTAAGCTCTTTGATACTTTGTAAATTACAGGAACTCTCAATATTTTACACCAATGACAGTTGATCTTCTAAAGATTGGCCTAACTGAACGAAAGGCACTTGACTAGCCACCTCCTAGAGAAATATGAAAGTTACAATATTAGGTGATCATCTACGGCTTCTATTGGTACTAGAGTCTCTTCAAGTTCACACCCAGAAGCAGCGAACGTTAACTTGATGATGTAGTGAAGAGGCACTTTGATGTAAGGGATTTCTGTCACTTGGATCAAACACAAACACCACAATTTTTATTTGATTTAATAAAAAAAGATTAATAAATTCTTTAAAGTGAAAGCAAGCACATGAATGAATACAGTCATACCAAAATATATTTTTTTACGTTCCTCACCAACAAATACTGTACGTGTACATATGTATTAATAATTCGAAACATTTCAATTTCAATGGCCTGTAAAACATAAATAGGTTTATAAGATATGTTTTCTGATTGAGCATTCCTTACAACAGTTTATGTTTTATAATAAGTGCTTGATACACGGCCTATGATAAATAATCACCATAACTAATTTTGATGTATCAAAATGTATCTTACCTGAATTTTTATCCATGAAATACGCCAAAAGGCATCTCAACACAGCTTGATGAGCTACAACGAGAACGTTCTCCTGCCTTTCGAGTTCCTAAAACATAAGAACATAAAGTACTGATGTACATAAAGATTTATCTAAAATCAGAGTCTAAAAAAAACCTAAAAGTTAATAGCTTTTCAAAAATACAATGTGATACAATAATGATCACTAATATTTCATTAATTTAAAACATTTTTGTATTATACGAACACACTGTTCAAAATAATTAGGGGATAACTGGAATATATAATATTTTAGCTCTGAGAAAGTACAAAACAACTCTTATATTAAGCGTACAACTGCAGTGCCAGGTAGGTCTTACTTTTTCACAGGATTGAATATGTTATATTAAAATGATTTTGACCACACAACTCAGCAAGTCACGTGACAACCACAGCCAATGAAGTCACTATGGAATGTCATTTATCAAAACTACACTCTGACATTCTGAAAGGGTGTGTAATAGCACCTTCCTATATACAATATTCATGCACGAAGATCATAGAGATGTTGAGGATTTAGATCAGGATATCCCTTATACTTAATGGCACTGTAAAACAAAAGAAATGTGTATCAACTTGGGGTACCAGCGACCATCCAGAAAAAGATCTGCAACAAGTTCTACCCCTACCATGGTAAGCTCAGTTCAGCATCACTTAACAGATGAGAATCCACAAAGGTCAGTGGGAAAAGCCATTTACATGCCCCAGGCAACAGTACGTTACATAATCAAGAAGGATCTCACAACGGAAAAGCAGCACCGTTCATGTGTACACAGGTTACTTCTTTTCAACCATCATATACATCAAGCAGCTGGAAAATGATGTAGGTATTCATTGTTTCCCATTTAAAGACATACAAGTCAAATTGCCAGACAGATGAATTTCTGTGAAACAGGACTGTTTAAACAGCCACTGGGAACTAACCGGTTAAATGAAAGGAAGAGTTGTGTGCTTTTGACATGAATTCCTAACAACAGAGCCTTTTGCAATGAAAACTGCAGGACTATTGTCAACATGCACTATCATCAAATAAAACATGAGTAGATGTGGCAATGTGGATCGTAATTGTGGTAAGGATGTGGCAACATTGACTGTAACTGTGCTAAGAATGTGGCAACATGGACCTGTAAACGTGACTAGATGTGTCAACATGGACCTGTAAACGTGACTAGATGTGGCAACATGGACCTGTAAACGTGACTAGATGTGCAACATGGACCTGTAAACGTGACTAGATGT